CAAAAAATTAGGATAATAAAAATAGCACCTAACTTATAAGGTCATTATGAGGATTAAATGAAATAATGTATAAGTAATTCTTAACACAGTATCCATTACATTCAATTAATGTTAGCTGGTATTATTTTAATTATTTCCAAACCTAGCAAAAAAGTGGAAAAAATCTGGTGTGAACACACTTGATTTCCCTATAATGTTTTCATGCTAATAAATAAGAGATTCGTGTAAGCATTTGAATTTTCAGTCCTCTACTCTCTTTGTTGAAGTTATTTATTAATTAAATATATCAGCACATAATCATTGTCCATAGTACTTTTCTCAGCTTACTCCTAGCTTTTCATGGGTGTGCTTTTAATTTGTTTTAAATTACTGTTAAACAAAACAGAGCAATATACTTTTTAAATTTTCTACCTGTTTTGAAGCAACACAAAGATAGTCTTATAATTATTTACATCCTTAATTATATATACTTAATTATATATATATTTTGCTAAATTAGTACACAATTCACATAAAAATATGTGCAAATGTAGATAGAAGTTCTATAATTTACACTCTTGTAAGGCCACTAATATTTATGTTATGATCAAGCACACTGGAATATGGGAAAGAAAACATAAAATAAAAATGGCAAGAAAGTGCACAATGCATGATAAATGCCCTTTACAATGTGTTTGGAAAATGAAAATTATAATTGAGATGTAAAGTCATCAGAGACAAGAAATTGTTTGGAATCACAAATATTATAACCACTTTATGATGACATGATAAATTTGATATAGATAGTAAATGGATAATTTAAAGACGGGTAGGATGAAGTATAGAAATATGAGCTTACATGTGTTGGTATGTAAAGAGTCTTCTCAAAGAAATGTGGAAGCTTAAAAATAGATAGAACCTGATAGAAAGCATTTGTTTTCTTAAAATAATGATAACAGTAACAGCTAAAACTTTACATTTATTAATTCATTTATTTCTGTCAACAACCCAATGAAATAGGCACTAGCAATATCCCCATTTTCAAATGAATAATTTGAAGCATCATGAAGTTAAGTAAACTCCTTGAGGTCACAAAACTAATAAGTGGCAACACCTAAATACCAATATAGGCAGCTGGGTTCTAGATGCCAAGCTTTTAATATTACTCTAATCTGACTATAGATGTTTTAATGATCTAATACAATTGTTATCACAGATTAATGTTTCTAAATTGATGTGCATGTTATTGAAACAGTATAATGTGTAACAGTATAATTTTTGTAAGTATATTTGTATATGTATTAAGGTATATTGGGAGTAGTGGGGAGGTATTTTGTCATCCTTCCTTTTCCTAAGGGATATTCTTTATTTGGAAGACCCTTATATTTTTCAGTTGAATGTAGTTCCTCTTTGATATTTTTAGTTACCTTCAAGAGTAGACTCCAGCAAATAAATGAGTTTTTCTCTATAGTAGTTCGGCACCTACGGGCAATGCTCACAAGGGAAGTCTGGACAATATTGGCCCAAATACAAACAAGTATTAAACCAGAACTAAAGCCAGTCAGTCTTAAATCTCAATGAATGGTCAGCTTCTGTCCTTGGTTTTAAGTGTAAAAATGAACAGCTCTGGATATGAAGTTAATATAAGGGTGGATGGCAATCTTGTTCT